TATAAAATATTTGGGTTAACGTGTCACTCGCGTAAGCGATCGCAGGACGATAAAAAGCATCGTGTCCGGGCGAGGGTGCGCAAGAGAAAGGGAGGGATCGGCTAATTTGGTAGCTGGAAATTTGCGAAAACGATACCGGGTAGGCGGAACAAATTGTCGCGGATAAAAGGACGAGCAAAACTCGCGGTACAGAGCGGCGGAGAGCGAGCAGCGAGTCGAGCAGTGTAGAAGCAGCAGAAAAGCGAACGCGCGAGTCCGTGATGTGGGCGTGCACCGGACGAGTGATGGATGTCAGTGTCACCCTCGAAAACACGTGTTCCGCTTACATAGATGCCTGGGTGAACGCGACCAGTGTTTGTCTACTATTCTCACTCGCTAATTATCGACCCCTGAGCAGCTCCCCTTTGTCGGGCACCGCTACGCGGTTTTATACGTGGAAACGGGTCCTTCGGTTTTAATTTCCGACGCGCACATGTCAGTGATTAGTCCCTTCACCCGCCACGGAGATGTTTAAACCTTCCTCGTTTCTCATCGTGAACCGTGGAACGGCCAGGTTCTCGCTAGAAATACGCGTGGTATTCAGTTTGTTTATGGTAATTGAATTACTTGACGGATGGTCGACGAGACAGAGTCGTGGGGCTCAATTAGATCTCGCGTGAAGTTTCGTGCATACCGCGAGGTTCGTCAATCTCTGAATACTTAAGGTTGTATGAACATCTACATAAAAACAATGATAAACCATTGAAATTTAAACAGTTATTAGATATTACATTAATAAAATATTAGAAATTTTGCGAGTCTATTAGGAAAGTTATTACATTTCGAATTCTTATGATAAATGATAGAATGTCAATGCAACAATGACAGAATTTTGTAATTTTGTATAATTCTTAATACATGATNAAGTCACAATCCAATAAAAAATGCCAAAACTATGTATTAGATTATTAGAAATTCCTTATGACCGAGAAGAACAGGTCGAACAATTTTATAAACCTTCCTCCTCTGTACTTATCATTCTTTCTAAAAGTTCATTGCTTCCAATATTGGACACAGCTTTTTATTACATGTTTTAATATTTTGGCAGAGATCTTACAATTCATGCAATCTTAACTGATTCACGATACCATTTGTTTGTGTAGAGTCGAGGAATTCAATAGTTTTGATTTAGGGAACGACTAGCTTAACAAAGTTATTCAATTTTAAGCTTTGGAATATTTATGGACTTCGCTGTACGTACAAATTTATAACACGTGTATCCACGTTTCGAAATAGTTCTGTCACGTCTCATTACTTATACCATACATACCTTCAAGGGATTTGTACCCTAAGCATCGGCTAAGCAACGTCTCATCGAAAAGATTCTCAACGATTCGCGTGTGCATTTGTATCGGACCTAAAAGCGATCAATTGTGGACACAATCGAATCAATTATATCAGAGTTCATTCTACTGCGACATATCTGTACTTAATCTTTAATTATTTACAAGTACCAGAGATAAAATATAGACGTTTCAGACTACTTGTAATTGAGTATTTCGAGGAAACTAATTGGATCCAGATTACGGAAAGAATACGAATTTCGAGATTTTTGTAGATTAACAGGGCGGCTATTTATAGCCGTGAATTTTATGCAAGTTTACGCAGATGGAAATTAATTATGCGCTAATCGCGTTACATTTTTCACGATAACCGTTTGACCTCGTCGAGCATAGTTTCATCACAGCTATGCGGATTTCCAGACTCGCCTGCCGGCCGGCCCGCGATCTAACGACGAAATACGAGCTGGAGATTTATTTCATGAAACCTTACTGCACCATAATAATTTGTCCACTTTTCGAAATCAATTCGTATTTCTCGTAAACGTCCGCCTATTTAGACTTCACACCGTTACGGACAATTTCTCTTTTCATTTTGCTCCTATTTTTTAATCAATCATTTAATCAAAGGGAATGAGTCCTAAATTGTTTATAAATATATTCAGAATTATTTATTCAGTGATTTCTGTTCTCGTTTTGCCCTTTCTCGGGAGAGGGACAGAGAGAGGAGTACCTTTGCCTGTGCACCTAAAATACACCCCGTGCAAAATTTATCTCGCACACGCGTCTGCGTGAGGTTGGCTAACATCTGGAATACGCGATGACAGTGGGACCGAAATATATTCGATCGACGAACAAAAAACGCAACTCGCCGAAAGTACATTTTCCCTCGATCGCTGGAATGCGGCTCGGCCGAAGCGAGTCGGTTTTTCTTCTCAAACGAGGAAACTAAAATAATTGAAAATCGTATTCCACGATTCCACAATCTTGGGAAGGAACTGTACAAAACGGAATGCCTTTGTAGATCAAATTTGGATTACAAATGTTCCTACGACACGACGTGATCTTGTCATAAATCTGAAGAAGAATTTCGGGAGAATTGTTAACAATATTCAAGAGGTCCGAGTTTCATTCCGGGATTGTCTGTAGGTACGTCAGAACGAACGAACGGGGAACCGTAATTGAAAGCATCCTCTGTGCCGAGACGAAAATTGCTACACGGTACACGTAGCCAACGGCAGTGGTTTTCGGGTGGATGCCGGGCTATTAGAAGAATTCCCTGTGGCGGATAGCCAGCGGGAGCTTGAATCGGCGGCACGGGGTACGCAGAACTCCACGTCCAAATCGTGCAAGTAATAACTTGTCAACAATACATCTCCGAATCGTTTTGCCGTATCGTACGGATCGTTGTTCGCGGATGGTTATGTGCCGTATCTAATAGTCCATGCGATACGTTCCACCTTGTCACGATTTCATAGCCAAATCGCGGTACACGCTACATTTCCGTGCGTATCAATCAGAAGATTAACTCTGATGTAACGTGATCTAGTAGAGATACTTCGTATCGACAGTAGCCCGGAGTCACGTTTTTTAATTGGATGCTCGAAAGACGTTCTCTCGTCACGTGTTCTTCGAGTTGTTTCAGAATGCACGAAACTTTTAATAAAAAACACTGACCAATGAGAATATGCGTAGGGCCCGTGCCCAGCCACGGATAGATTGGTTCGAATCGTGACCCTCGGTCGTGGCTCAGTGCGGACCCTATACACGCTCTTATTAATTAGTGTTTTTCGTTAATAATTTGAAAACCGTGTTTCACTTTGGATTTTGCCAAAGAAAATTGTTGTTCAGAAACGCTTACAAAATTAGCTCCTTTCGGCTCTAACATCTTTTTGGGACACTCTGTATACTGAGCAGATCTGAGAGAAATCAGTGTCTATCGTCAATGAATCCCGGTTCCCACGTACGTTGTACAATTCCATAAATATAACTCGAAAAACGACGAAGAGCTCGTTGCTTAAGAAGACAGATAAAAAAAGTGGATATCACCGTCTTACGTCGTTCTTAATCAGTGATTCCGTACTGTTCGCGATATCGTTTCGCTGAAACTGCCTAAATTAACTTCTGAGTTCATCTGGGAATCACGATGAATGTAATTTTAGCACTGTTAGATAAATCGTTAATTGTTTCCCGCTAAGGAGAGGAAAGAAACGTTTAAAAATTCCATTTGATAAAACGCGAGACCCGTTCGAGGAATACTCGAAATTGGTGATCTGTTTTCTTACCGAAATAAAAGGAAAGTGTAAATAATAGAAAAGTGTTTTAAACCGAATTAGGGACGACAGGAAAATTAGCGAAACAATTGCCGTGGTCCTTTTAAACTCAGAGGATCCTAGAAAGGAAATAGCAAACGGTGTTTAGGTAGTTCAGACGAACTGCGGTAGCTAGTACAAGTATTTGGCCAGTCCTTTGTCAACTAGACCCTTTTATAAAAGCTGACTTCTTTGTTTAACTAGGACAAACGGTACTAATTGAACGCTAATGAATCTGTAACTGCACATTTCCGGCCAGGGTAAATAATCCCACAGTCTGCATGATATTTTCAAAAGTACGAAATATTAAAAAGAATCCGACTTCTTAAGGAGTATAAAAACTATAAGACATGTTTAATGTTCGAATATTATTGGAAAGTGTGCTCAGTTCTGATTACCACTGAATAGATACAAGACAGTAAAGAATACAGAATTTATTTCTATGTATTAATAAAAGAATAATTTTGCGAGTACTGCAATGTTTGTATATTTGTGAGAGCAACTGTACGCAGTTTCGTATCTCGGTTTTATATTCAGAATTTCTTTAACAACAACCTTCCCCAGGCATCTTGTGTATTCTCGAGTATCGCCCGGTACACGCGTAATCGGTTAATTATTCGCTGTCGATTTCTTGGCGAGCACATTACGAGCATTGTTAAGATTGTATGAGACGTAAGATCTCTGCCAAAAGTTTAAGGCATATAATAAAAAGCTGTGTCTAATATTT